TTGCTAAGTATTTTACCCTTAGTATGATTTTCGTGATTTGCTGACATTATCGCAATGGTTAGTTGATCTGCTGCGTACTCCATTTGTTCACAATAATTCCAGTAGGGACATTTAGCAAGTTGGATGTTAGGGATTTATAAATAAATAAAATAAATAAATAATCTTTATTATTATCTTTAAGCTAGCAAAAATAAACATAAAGTACATAATTCAACAATCATTTTATAATTTAACAATTATTATACAGGTATTGTATCTGCTATAAACAAACGGCATCTTCTTCTAAATTCCTTTAAATTAGGAGAATGCTTAACATCATTAGGTAACTCATTGTAAGTTTTTTATCCATTATGGAAAACATTTCTTTGATCAAAGTTCCTCCGGAATATAAAAATTGTCTGCATTTCTAGTGTTTCGGTCGTGTACATTGCGAACGGGTATACAAAAGTCTTGTAGATTGTCTGGTAAGGATCCCTGCACGATTTTGAATATAAAAATAAGTGTTTATAAGTAAATTGTTTGTTTTACACTTAGAATCCTCACGGCTTGTAACATTGTCTTTATACTTGTACATCGATTACAGTTAAGAATAACACGTAGTGCCATGTTTTGTCTCTTTTATATTTGTGCAATTTCAAAGTTAGTTAAAGTGAACAATACTCTTGGACAATAGAACAAATGTGGTTGTATGGCAGATTTAAAAATTAAAGTTTTTGCCCATATACTTTCTTCGCTATTTTCCTTGTCACATAGGTTGTATGGTTGGTAAAAGTTAGATGTTGGTCGATAATAACTCCCAGATACTTGAATTTCGTTACTTTTTCTATTTGAATGCCATCTATTTCTACACCGTGATATAATTGGTCCTCTCGCGCCGTGCCCCTATTTTTCACCATCATAAAGTCTTTTCAATATTTAATTTCAGATTATTGTATTGTAACCACCTTGAAATAGATTTCAGTTCTTCGTTAATGGTTTTGACTATGTGTTGTACATCATTTCCAATAAAGTACAACAATGAATCACAAACAGGTTTTTCAATTGTGCACTCCTTTGCCATGTGCCCAAACTTCCAACAATTAAAACACTGAATCACATTTACATGATCCACATATTTGCAAGTCCTCTATCCTATATTTATATTGTTTTCTTAAGACATAATTGTGTATATGCAGAGGAGTCGATTTCAAGGACGATATTTGTCATTCCTTCTTTGGTTTCATCTTTGAATATCACTCTTAATGTTAATTTACTATCTTCCGTCGTTATTCTGTTTTATTTTATTATTTTTTCTATTAAAATTTCTTCATTTTCTGCTATGTTTTTCTGTACATTCAACACTTTAATTCTAGGATTTTTTTTTTCAGGTTCATTCACCTCATAATTTTGGCCCAAATTATTTCTCAATGTTTGGTTGTAAAATTTTTGATTCACTTCGACTTTTGCAGGTTATTGCTAGTCCTCCGTTCTGCATATATTTGACTCTAGTGATTCCCATTCCTAACGCTGATGGGTCAATCCTCTTCTCTACTGCTTGTTTTGTAATTTCACTTGTTTGGTTCTTATCTTTTGCTTTTATTATGACGACACTTTCAGCTACTTTTTTTTTTTTAACTGCTCCACTGTATGTACTTACTGCTCTTCTAGGTACTTCTATCTCCTTTAACTTGAGATTTTCCACTTCAGTCTTAAGATTTTCATTTACTTCTTCCTGGTATCTAATTATTTTCTCTGGCTTGCAATAAATTTATTGTATCATATTACCCACATGTCTGACAAAAAAAAATCTTAACTCGGGAATTTAGCTGTAACACTTTGACTTCTGTTGAAGTAAGATCTCTACATGTCTTACATATCTGGCACTTACAATGATGACATATAAAAACTCCTTTTTTATGATTGGAGCACACATCGCATTCCTTCTTCGAATTAGCTGCAAAATCCACTCACTGTTATGGCAACGTCGCACTTGCATCGACAGCAAAACGATGTTTATTTTGAATAATTTTTGGATTGTATATAACTTTTCAAAACTGGCCACCTTTATTTCCAACACTTTTAAATAACTTTGTTGATTACATTCTAATAATTTTTTTGATTCAATATTCACTAAATTCACGTTGTGGTATGATTTTTTCCCAGTTTGTGGCCCTTGCGTTGCGGTACTGCACTGAGTGCCCTAAAGAGGGTGTGACCTTGAAATACAGCTTGCCTTCAGAAAATAAAGGAAAACATTCTAAGAACTCATGTGAAAATCTTGCATCGCTACTTAAAATAATAAGGTGGCTACGCCTAAATGAAGTTTTGTGTGTTTATGATGTGAGACATCATAAACACACGCAAAAATTAGAAAACCTATTTAAACTGACGGAGCGATAGGGGTGAGAACGCAAAAACAATACGATAATGTCGGCCTCAATTGTACATATAACGTCACAGTGCTGAAATGGGAACTTTATACCAAGGTATCTTCGCAACGGTTGGTCGTGCGGTTTGAAAATTTGTTCTTAGATTTTTTTTCTAAAACTTTTATTTTTGGATGACACCCCCTTCAAAGAAATAGCTGACAATGTTCAATATTGCTTGAACAGGGAGCAAATAAGCCTATCTATGCTCTTCTGGTAAGTCCAAATAAGGACGAAACGCCTAAAGGACTTGCATATAAAAGATTTATATGTTGCACTTATCTCAATACCCTGCCTAAATATAGCCATAGTTCCAATGGAGGCGGTGTTAGTAATTGCCTTTTCGAACTCAATATTATCGCCACCACCTGGATGCGATGTTTGGCGCATCCAAACACTATTATCAGTAAAATTCCCCTAGAATCAGATGGCGCCATTAAGTTATGATTTTTTATTGATCCTCTAAAAAATTTTTAGGGATAAACTAGAAAAATATGTTATAAAATAGATAGCTTCTAGATAGACTATTGATTAATTTTATCCCTCGAGAATATCTTTCCATTAATTTTGCCTTCATACTAATAATATGTGTTGACAGAATTAGCGTATAACATGCAAATATTTCTAGTGACAAAATTAGGGTGTGTAATCTAAATATGGGATATTTTACCGCACTAGCATTCTTTAGTTTGTTATTATTCGTTTAGGTCACGAAGCGCCATTAAATCTATTTTCAGTTAGCCATGTACCCAATAATTTTTGAAAATTCCTAATTTTTATTTTATTTATCTATATTCAACCCCATCCTCGATCCGAACCTTATAACTCGCCCAAGAAAGCCAAAAAGTTTTAACTAAGATAAGTAGAAACTGGAAAAAGGCCCTGAGGTCAAACGGTAGGTTTCATTTTGGAATTACGTTTAATGAAATTTTCTAGTTTCACTTTTCCGGAAAAAGAAGTTTATTTTTGACATTTTTCAGGACGCACGGAAAAAAATGCTGTCGTACAAAAGCAAACTAGATTGTGAACTTTTTTTTTTTTTTTCGTTTCCCTTGCACGTTCGTTCTGGAAAAGTGAGGCGCTTTAAGGCAAACTGAAAACAAAGTAAATTAAGCACGTAGGTATAAAGAATTTGTATGTTTTTGTTATTGGCATGATATATTTAGATATTTCCAACATAATCTTCTATAATTAGGTACCTTTTTATGTCAATAATACTACCCACGTTTCAATTATTTATTACGTTGTTGCGATCAGTATTTACATACATTGCACATTCTACAAACATGCTGGATTATCTATTTTAATACTTGCCTCATCTGCCTATTTTACCTGCCACAAATATTTTTGCAGAGTCCTATTGGGGATAATGTGCTTATTAGAACAAAAATCGCGAAGACGGTTTTGTTGCCTTAAACCGGAAATCCGGAAGAGAAAGAGTTAGAGTCTGCCAATAGTCCTCTCGTGAAGGTTGTGAACTTTTGTCAATCTTCAGCAATAAATCCCAACAATGTAATCTATCTCAAAATTTGATAACTATTTCCTTTTTTTATTGATATCTACAGTTATGTCATTAATGTGGTCATTTCATTACTTATTTTATTTATTTATGAAAAAAATTTACTAAGCCCGCATACGGCGCCATCTCTTATAACCGATACCAAGTTTATTTTGTATTTTGTATTTTGTATTTTGTATACGGCGCCATCTCTGATACCTGGAACGAAGCTCGGCATTCCAGATACAGTAGAACAATGCTGCTCAGGAACTGGAGCTATTTCGAACAGAACTATTCCACTATTCCGATCAGACAGAGTGGTGCAGAAAGAGTAGATCAGATAGAGTAGAGCAGATGGAGTAGTGCAGTGCATGCAGTGCAGATAGAGTGAAACAGGGCTGCGCTAGATATTTTTTTTGTTTTCTTTACATTCTTTGAACATTCCTGTGCCTGAGTGACTTACAATGATTTATTCCTACATATAATCTGCGACAATATTTCTGCCGTCAGTTAGCCCCCTGTAATACAATATTCTTGCTAATTTTAGAAAAGTCACAATAGATTCTCATTTGTCCGCCATTCTTGGTCACCGAAACTATGGGACTAGCAAAATATGATGAACTAGGACTTATGAATCCTCAAATATAGTGACGATCAACTTTTGACCATTTTGTGTGATTTCTCCGGTTTTACTTCCTCTGAAATAGATTTACTTAAGGTCCAAAATATTTTATCAGACGATAATAATTATGTCAATTCTGGAACATATCATTTACATATAACCTGGAGTACCTATTCGAAAAGACATAACAAGAAGATCTAGCTGAAAGACTTCAATATATATTACCTATTTTTTCGGACTAAAATCTTGAGGTACTTTAAGAGAGTAGAAATTCAAATTTTAATGTTTTCTGACACAATACAATAAACCATTAAAAATCTAGACGGCTATAAAATAAATCCTTTATACCTTGATGAACGTAACAATCTAAATAGTAAATCTTGATAAAAATGTGCGTTATTTATTACAGTAACGTACAATGTTAAGCTCATCTAAAAATAGGCAACGCCATAAAAACAAATTATCTGTATAGTTACGTTAAGATGCTTTAAGGCAATTTAGGTTAGTTGTTTGTATGAGCTTGACAATAAACAAACCATGCCAAGCTGGTACCTTGGTACATGAAATTATTCATTGTCAAAGTGTGTAATCAAACGTTAGTGGATAAGTAATTTTTATTGGTAAGTAACAAATTCTTGTTATGAATTTTAAGAACAGTAGGTACATTAAAGTTTGGAAAAAGTCCTGGACTCCTAGATCTGCTTGCTAACAGAAACGAAAATTGATAGACAATGTTTTGGTGTGTAATTTAAATATACATAACATCATGAAACAGATTTTCTCTTGGAAAATCTATTGCAAGTAATGTTAGTATGTAGTATGTTAAATATAAAATTCAGTATCGAATGGACTGAATATAAATTTTTGACTGATGATACCATTAAATTTTATGAATGGATAGTTATTCTCAACCCCTTTCATAAACCAATTTTTCGAGTCACTAATGTGAAACCCCGTCGTAAACGTAGAACTTCAATAATAAGTTGTATTTCTTGGATCGTCAGGGGACAACAATTTGAATTTGAACGATCCAAGCACCTCCAGGCCAGATAAAATATCATGCTTCACTATTAATTCAATAATTATAATTTACACCTGCCAATATATTTTACACATATTGTTCATTCCTGCCCTTGGTATAAGTAGGTATCTAATCTCGTATACGTCTATCGAATCATTTTATTATTCTAAGCCATAAGTCAAAAAATCCCTTCTCTATTTTTTACATATCAGAGGCAAACCAATTTTCTCATTTTTTCCTTCTTTTCCTTTGATGTAAATATAGATCCATCGTATCTGCTAGATATGTACATTTTTTGTCGTATATGTTAAATATTAGCTTATACTCAATTTCGGTTCGGAAAATCCTATATTCCCCAAAAATACAAGCTGTTGCGTGCTTTTGCTCTTTTTACAGCTACATAGTCTGACAGAAGATAAGTTTTTTTTTATGATATGTGTGTGTTGGATGAAAAATCAAACAACCAACATTTTGATTCAATAAATCGATCATTGTCTAATTTACGTAGGTACCTTGTATTTAGTTCCAAACTGCAGTTGATTTCACGTTATACCTACTGCAAGAAGCATTTTCAAAGATCATAAATTATCAGTCGCACTTAAAGTGATTATGCAATTCAGTTGTTCAGTTCAAGTCAGCAATTACATTGTAATAATTTAACTTACCTACGTCAAATCGAAATTCAAAATGTCCCAGTACACATGCTCTATACCTAATAATTGATTAGTTAAGTTAAAATTCTGTAATTTACCAATTACCTACATATGTGGTTTTGATCATATGGAATACATAGTCCATAAAAGCAGGTTTTTATGTGAATGAGAAGAATATAGGACGGCTAAACATTTTCATTGATAGTTTTAAATTTTCTTTTTTTCAAATAATTTGACGATTCGATAGTTTGTTCAAAACTATAATATTCATCATTCATAACTCTGACATTAAAATCTTTTCAATAATATATTTGATAAATTCTAGAGAAGCCAATTGAATTTGCCTCGTTTTGGGTTTTCTCTTGGTATGCCATCTATCTAACCCCGTTTTGGGAACATAATGGGTTGTCTAATCAGACAATGGTTTTGCCTCTAAGGGCCGATATTTCTAGATACCTACTCCTTAAATACACATTTCCCAATAGTCGAATTTTAGGAGGTACGATTATAGAAATCCGCTTGTTTAATATGTTGTATGGAAACCCCTAATGAAGAAATGGATTTACGATATGGGAATAGTATTTGCTTATCTCTGCCTAATATTAGTTTAATATTTGTTAAACTACTTCCAGGGAAATTACAATTATTAACAATTAAAGTTTTGAGGAAAACCACCTATTTAAAATATTATTTCTTCAAATCTTACCTTTTTAAAAAAACGTTTACTATAAAAAAAAAAGCAAATGGCAAATGTTGCAACCTTGTAGGCGCGCCACAAGGTACCGGAGCGAAGGTGAGACGGAAAAATGAGGTACTAGAGAGAAGACGCTTGTCTGCCATTGTTCATTATTTAAATTTTAATTTTATTTTGTATTACACTGATTGTTTAATCCATTTTTTGATTAGTTTGTCTGTCATGAGGAGCATTCACAGGTCAGTTGAATAATTTTTATTTTGTTATAGAGAGTTCAATTTATACAAGTATTATTTTTTAATTTTTATGTTTTTTTTTTGTTTTGTTTATAACATTTTTTATAACATGTGCATTATTCACGTGTTTAACAAAAATGCTTTAATAACTCAGATGAAAAAAGTAAATTAAAATCTAAAGAAATTATGTGCTGTCTTTTGTGCTGGGATTTTAATTTCTGGTATTCAGAACGTGCATTAGGGCCTTGTTGAATCTACTAACATTTTTCTACCCTACTATAGCTGAGTAGCATCTCGTATGGGACCTCAGTACCTGCTGGTGAAACTTACTAACTAACCAAAAACTCTTTAATATTGAATTTAGGTAGTGTTGATTGAATGTGGTGTGTGGAATTGAAATTTTAGCACAAGCACAGGGGCGGTACCTAATTTGAACTATTATTGACTCACAATTATTAATAAAATGATGTACAGCATGTTTTGATTTTTGAGGAATGTTAGATCGAGGATTTCTCTGCCGTGCTCTTTCCCTTCGTTAGTTCCAGGTCGAGAACGTTACGATTTACTTTAATGATAAAGTAGACGTTTCATAACTTTTTCGATTATTTTACATAGTACAACTTTCCTTAAATTTCCCTAATTTTGCTATTGTCGGGCGCATGTCAAGTAAGTAAAAGTTCTCACAACGTAGGTCCAATTTGTTTTTTATTTCGTTTTTCAGAAGATATGTTAATAATAAAAATTCTCACCATTCAATCTTGCTGAACCAACCCGGGTATGTTATACTACAGCACTAAGCACTAGTTTTCTTCATGGAAATTTCCTTCACGCATACAAATTGCCTATTGGTTTTGATATGCGCTTATATCTAAGAACATTCTCACACCAGAATTAGCCCAGACGTGGTATATTCTCTTAAATAATAAACACATTGAAATATAGGTACTTGCTAAAAACAATTAATATAAAAAAATATAATCGTTGAGCGATGGACGGCAACAGAACAGAAAATTTGTCCTCAACCAACATTACGTTTATGGTAGGGATGATTTTGTAAATGGGAGAGCTGAAACACGCCACTTAAATATCTCAAATTTATATTTAGTAGTTTTTGAGACTAGGTAAAATAATTTGAATACTTTTTCGAAGTGTTTTTGATACCCCTGTGTTCTGTAATAGCGTTTACAATATGGAGTATGAGAAAAAAGAGAAGTAAAGCTCAAAAATTTTATTATGGAAGAAACAAAACTATAATAATTTAATAAAGTTAAAAGTTCTATACCGGTTGCTCTGGGTAAACGAAACCGCTGGAAAACTTCCAAATCGTTCTAATTGATAAAATAAATCATTCATTTTCCTCATACCGTACTCCATCATAGAGTTGAAATCCCTATCTGCTCTTCTATCAATTTTAACTCTTCACGAAGTTACTACCTTGTATTGAAATTATTTAATGGACAATCTTGCAATTCACCATTTAGAAAAATTGTTTGAACAGTTTAGTACATATATTAGCCTGAATAAATAAATGTTTATTTTTTTTTTCAGTTGGACCGTTCGAAAATAAAAAAGTTATGCCATCGTAGCCTGATGTAACGTGTTATATGATATGTATGTTTTTCAAAATGGTTTTCTCAAAATTATGTACCAAAGGTAAGAATAGTATATTTTCACACTTTTCGAACACCAGGTTTTGTACAGAATATTTGACGCAAAAATCTCGGCAAAAGTTGATGGGTGGAGCATGAAGCAAGTACTCCATAGGGAAATTATTGCCAACTGAGCGCAATAAAACGTACTGCGGACTTTCATTAAGTCCTAGCTCGTATTTTATCTATTTATTAGAACTGAATACAGAATTGAATGACTTAAAATTTACTCAGTGCAAATTATTATACGATTTCGGTATTTATTATGCGACTGAATTTCTATTTCAAAAATTAAATAAAAAATTCTAACATCTAATCTCTTTTTCAGATATTCTCCAAAATTCTCTCCTCAAACTTCTCAACACCTTCTACTTGCTGGCAAATTACGTAGCGCTTGTCACAATGAATATAGGTTTCGCCATTGTTATAATTTTCCTAATACTGCGCCATGTTTTGCAGAATATTAATATTTATGAGACGAAGTATTATGTTGTGGCAATATTTTAACCCCGATATGCAATTAGAGAAGTTTGGAATCGATTTGAATGTCGAGGAGTATAATTATTCAAGAAGTTTCGAGATGGAACATAGGTATGAGCATTGAGCAATGGAGAAATTAAAAGTAATGTGAATTTTGGATTAAAAAAATAATAATAATAAAAGTTTGATAATGAAGATTTGTTTTAATTGGGCTTTACAATTCAAAATTTGCTGATATCAAGAGATAGATACATATACAGTGTGTCGCATTTTGGCTGTCCATAGGGGATTACTTGGTTGCTATTGGAGTTAGAAGGATACGGTTTCCGCGGACGTTGGCTACTTTTTCGTCAAATGAAAGATGGCGCCAACAGAATTGTCATCGCTCTTTTTATTTTTCAGATACAAGGTGTTTTTGAAAAAGTTGCATTTTGGGACACCCCTTGTATCTCGGTTCTCTCATAAGTGATCGAAAAAGTGAAGACGGATTCTTATAGATACTTTTACGTAGGTTCTAGTGGCATAGTCAGTTTATCTCTAGAAGTGATAGTTTTTAAATTATGAACTTAAACATACGTTTTTTTCAAGTGAGACACCAAATTAATGTGCGAAATTAAAATTGGAAAATCCACAGGTTGCTGATAGAATAGTAATCGATGAAAGATTTTAAATTGAAATTGAAAGATATCGAAACTAAAAAAAGATATTTTTCACCTTACCTGGCTTTACTTCCAAATTCCACTCAGTTGGCCAGCTCTTTCAGGAAGTTCAAGTCCAATGCGAAGGAGTGCAAACGAAACCGTCTTGATTTAACCGGTCGCGGAAAACGAAAAACCGCAGGTCTTTTTTCTCGAACCACACGAAACGGACGGAGTGTTTTAGCTCATTGGATTGCTCTGCTTTTGCTGATTTCAATGATATAAAGTTCGATAGGTTTACCTCTATCATGTCTGTTTTTGTCATAAGAGACAATGTGTCAGAAAAGGACTTTGCATCTGTGAGGAAAATGAGAAAGGTCTCTTTCTAACACATTGTTTCTCATGATAAAAACTGAAAAAAATGTTTTGCTCGAAAACTGTTAGAGATAAACCTATCGAATTTTATATCATTGAAATCAGCAAAAGCAGAGCTATCCAATGAGTTTATAATAGGGTGTCTCATTTTAAAAAACGTACGTCAGGGTCGTAATTTCAAAAATATCACTTCTAGAGAAAAACTAACTACGTCATTGGAAGCTAAGTAAAAATATCTATAAGAAACCGTTGTCATCTTTTCGATCATTTATGAGAGAACTGAGATACAAGGGGTGTCCCAAAATGCAACTTTTTCAAAAACACCTTGTATCTGAAAAACACAATGAGCGATGACAATTCTGTTGGTGCCATCTTTCGTTTGATAAAAAAGTAGCCAACGTTCGCGGAAACCGCATCCTTCTAACTACAATAGCCACCGAGTTATCCCTTATGGACAACCAAAATGTGACTCACTGAACAGTGAGAATCATTGCAATTGGCACACACTATATAAACATCCCCTGTAATGTGTTAAAATTTTACTTCTTTCACACACAGGTAATGTTGAAAATGTGTCAGATTGATGAATCAGTGATGAACATAATAGTTTTAATAAATTGTTGAAGGAAAAAAATAGTTATTTACATTACAAGTGCCTTTATGAACATAATTACAATAACGAGTGTAAAAGATTAGAACGACGAGGTCGAAGACCGAGTCGTTCTAATCACACGAGTTTTGTAGTAATCATGTTCAAACGCACGTGTGATGTACAACGTTTTATCTACAAGGCCAGAAATAAGAATTTTTTTTATTTTCGTTTATTAGTAGTTTTCTACCTCCATTTTACCTTTACAGGCTTAACTTTGACATTTGTCAAATCACCAAAAATAGTTGTGGTATGGATTCATAACCTAGTCCATAACACCACTAGTTATGTTATGAATTCATAACCTAGTCCATAACTCCACTACCACCAGACTTCTGAAACACACACTGTATGTGTTTCATACATATAACATAATACATACAGGGTGTCCCCGTTCAACTGGTCAAAAATGCTAGGGTATATAGAGGAACCATAGAAAAGTAGTTTGAGATAGGATGGTCTGAAGTGCATCGTTTCGAAAATACATGGTGTTGAAATTAAAGAACCAGAACAAGCTCATCATCAATTCTCTACTCTTCTTCATAAGGCACGCATATGATATCAACGTCCTTTGGCTTATAATTTCCTATAATGTTATAGGTATCAAGGATGAAAAGTTGAAAATTTTTCGACGTCCGTAGAGATTGCCTGTCAAGACGCAAGCCGAAACTGGCAATACGTTGTCCGGGAATGTAACTTCTTCTATGAGGAAGTTACTTAGTATATTATTGAATTACTACCTACGTCACTGAGATTCGTAGAAAGTTCAAATTTTGGAGATAACTTAAGGAGGTCCTGCATATTACTTTTGAGCAAGAAAATTTGTTCTACATGATAAAGGGTTGGTCAAAATTAGTAATTGTGCTACCAGGTTTGTAAAAGTGCATCTTTTTTTAAATGGAGCACCCTGTATATTATGAAATAGGTATCATAAAAGCCAATGAAAATCCCTCACAAAAATGATGTATTATGCTCCTATACCTAAATAGTAAGGTTTCCGAACTACAAGCAAGTTTCTGTTAGAATATTTTGGGATATTTGTCTAATGGCGGCGTTTCCGATTGGTAGATTTAATTCGCACCGAGTGCATTTCTATCTGTTTCTCTCAGCCTGTTGAAGAAACAGATAGAAATACATTTGGATAGCTATGAAATGTCACAATGCGGAACATATAGGGTAATTCAAACCACGTGATTTTCTACAATGGCGGGTGATGGCAAATACTGAAACCAGCATGGTTACCATCGATTTATTGAAAATAAATGCATAAAATGGTCCACTTTCCACAATGTGTCATACACAAAAATATTGTCATTGTTGTTTTTTGTCTCTCCCCTACTCACGATGTTTTCGAATGACGTCACAAAAGTCTTAACATAGGCATCTATCGAAGTAGGTCATCCATTTTACCGTTACTATTTCCCTCCTGTCAATTTTGATATTGTAGGAAATCACGTAGTTTGAATCACTTATTATATTTCATCGTGACATTTCATAGCTATTCAATGGCTTTTCCGGTTGATAGAATAAGTGCAAAGGAAACGTATTTCTATCTGTTTCTTCAACAAGCTGAGAGAAAGATATGGAAATACACTCAGTGCGACTTAAATCTACTAATCGGAAACGCCATTAGGCAAATATTCGAATGTAATACCACAAGAGGTTTCAGGATTACCGGATAATACTTTTACCTGTTACGAAACGCGTTAAAAATTTGGAAAATTTTAGTTCACTTGCAAGTTTCCTATTGACCAGTTGCCATTTGGCATCAGATGGAAGACAGTACTTAAATTTATATACCTAGTGCCTTAAATTTTGAGTAAGCTAAACCTATTTTTTTATCAACACGAGCCTCAAAATTTAAGAAAGGGTCTAACAAACCACTAACAGTCGTATGCAACATCCTCTTTTATCTTAAAAGCGCTTTTTAGAACTGGTCACTTTTAAAAGTTTGTATTTTAAACAGTGCAAATTTTTAAAAGTGACCAGTTTTAGAAAGCGGATGTTGCATATGGCTGCTAGATTTATTATGTATTCAATCTTTGTCATTTAACCTAATCGTCTCATGATTATTTAGCACTTTTTCACGAGCACTTCTACTTCCCATACACATAGGCATAGTTTTATTAGGGTTGAGAAAGAGACCATTATTCTGTGACCATTCGTGAATTCTTTGCAAAGTCATATTAAGCACATTCACAGTAGGACCAAGATTCTCAGGATCACCAGATCACCAGCCACTTGTGTATCATCAGGGTATTTTGCCCATTTGACTCCAGAGTAATTCATGCAAATCTGTCACATAAATAGAAAAAAGTAGAGGACGAAGTGGACTTCCCTGCGGTACGCCCTTAGTTACTGGTAGCTCTTGGGACACATCTCCATTCAGAGAGACTCTCTGAGGCCTGTCGCTAAAATAGGCCATAAATCAGTCAAGTGTTGCCCCGTGGATTTCATAGTACTTAAGCTTTGAGGCCAGGAGGGAGTGATTCACTTGGTCGGAGGCCCTTGAGTAATCCAGGGCGAACAAAAAAGTAAACTGACCTTGATCAGTTGCTTTAGATATATCCTCCACGATTTTAGTGAGAGCACTTGAGATGTCATGTCTCTTACGAAAGCCTGACTGAAGTAATGTTATTTTGTTTGCCTCAAAATATTTAGTGAGCTGTGATGCGACGATCTTTTCGAGAATTGAAATTAGGCTAATAGGTCTTACATCTTCGTATTTTGACATCACTAGAGCCTGTTTGCATGTAGGAGGAATGTCTCCAGTTTCTAATGAAAAGTTAATTATATGACAAAGAGCATCCTTGCAGTATGATAAAACAAGCCTCAGCATCTTCAGAGTGACTCAATCCAGACCCGACGCATTCGATTGTATGTCAGAAACTTGCTCTTCTATCATGTCGGCGGTCACAGGAGTGAAATTGAAGTTCACTCCAAGCCTGAAACTATTTTCCTGAAAGTGACTGCAGATATTCATTTTGATATCTATATTTCTAACCCCATTAACAAGGAAATAATTTATATTGTTGGAGTTATTTATTTCTAGACCCAGTTCACGAAAAGGCTTTCTATGAATATGGCAAGTATTCAGTTCTCTCCACATCTTCCCAGGACACGATTTTTTGCCAATCACCTGAGTTTGAATATATGCCCTTTTCTCACGTTGTACAGCATTAGAGAGATAGTTGCGTAAGTATTTGTAATAATCCAGCTGTATCTGATTTTAAGTTCTCAAGTATTCTTTGTAAGCCTCTCTTTTGAGTTTCCTCATTTCCTTAGTAGTGGATAAGGACGTGCTGGATTTTTACGAGCAATGGTCGACTTGAATGAAGTATGCATATCGAAAAGAAATTTTACGGCAGTGGTGAGGTATTGTTCTTTTTGTGACAAATTAGGAATCACTTGGATAAAGTCCCAGCCTACGGTGGAGGCATCCTGCCCAAACAGAATAGTATCGAAATATCGAAAATTCAAGAATTTTGAATATTACTTTGCGCGGTTTTGCAGATTTTATTACATAGTCTAAC